TAACTTTATTCGTTAATAACTCTGTAAATAATGGTCTGAGCCAAAATTGAAAGAGGAACTTTTAGTTCAAAATTTCATTCTCTTTCACACCTTAAAATATTAATTAAGCGTTACGGGACACCCTGTATACATTAAATAAATAATATATATACAGGATGTATCCTAACATGTGGGAAATCCACTTCAGTGGTGAACAGATGACACAAAGACAAGTCATATAAACAAGTGTCCCATTTGGCTTTCCGAGTTATAATCATATTTGTTATAATCATATTCCAATAATATGGAGCTGCTTAACTTTATAAGTGTTCAAAATAATCACTTTTTTATCAATATAAGAATTTTTTCGGCATAAATGTAAGAATGCAGTCATTGCCTTGTAGACTGTCGCACATTTTCAATAATATCAAATGTTTGTCATTAACAGTCTTCTTATATGTATACATTGAGTCTTATATACATTGATGAATTTTTTGAATGGAAGTTGTCGATGAAAATAAAACCATTGTTTTCAAGTGTCTCTACAAATAAAAAGCAAATAGATTTAAGTCTGGGGCACAGGCCAGCTAATAGGTCAGCATTGAAATATTTATAAATATGTCAATTTATACAAAAGAATCCTTCGAAAACGTAATATTTTTAAAATACAATGTACAGGCGACGATTGCATGCTTATATTCAGGCCAACGGTAATTATTTTGAACACTTCTTATAAAAATAAGCAGCTCTCCATACTAACTCTCATTACTAAAATACAAATATGGCTATAAACAAAGCCAAATAAGATATATGTTTATATAAACTTGTATCATTGCTTTGGGTCTCGTGTCCATCAGTAAAGTGGGTTTCACATGTCAGCATACTCTCTATATATTATTCTTATAATTTAAAAAAATTCTTATTTGATTGTAAAATGGTAATACATTAGCTTTGCTGGTGCTATAAATTCATGCTATACAGCAGGTGCAAAGCATTTCTTTTGCAATAAATATTATAATTAAAAAAATTTAGATGAATAACGAAGCATCAAGTTATTATGCAAAATGAGACAAAAATTACAAAAGTGAGAAAATTCTCTAAAATATATATAATTTCGTTCATTGGTCAACATCTAGTGAAGTTATTTACTTTTTTGTAATTTTCACTTTATTTTAAAATATATAATACAATCAATTCCCTATTAAAGACAATTGATGGGCCAACTTCTTAATCGGCTTAATCAGCTCTCGTTCGCGTTGCTTAAAATCCTCAAAAATGTTCGCACTTAAAAGATAAATATATATTCGGATATGAGAGAGATGATGATGATGATGATGATGATGATGATGACGATATTATTAGAGAGAAGGGGGAGGGAGAAAGAGAGAGGAGGGAAAAAGAAAGGGAGAGAAGCGAGAGAAGGGGGAGAGGGAGAGACCCAAGACTCTGAATGCAAAAAATTTAAGCAACATGAACAGATCTAATTATTAACACAAATATTTCTCAGATATTTTTATTATTTTTGTTTATTTTTTACACATTCAGAGTGACCCATTTTAGATTATCCAAAATTTTGTTTTAAATAATTTTAAACAAAAATATTTCCAACAAAAGTTGCATGGTCTGAAGGAAGACAAGTAATGGTAATGTTAATTTTTGAAAAAAGTCAATTTTTTAAGTCACATGAAGGTCATTGACATCCTTTAATGGAATTATAATACATAATTTTTTTAAAATATATATTTACTATAATTCCTTTAATAATACTACATATTAAAATATTAAAATAAAATTATCAAAAACTCAATAGTTTACAAGATATTTTATACTTTATTTATGCATATTTCAACTTAAAATATAAAATGTCTCGTAAACTATTCATTGTTTACATTGTAACTGTACTTTAATACTTTTGCAAATAATAAAATGAATCAATTTGTGTAAAGAAAACACATAGTTATTTCTCATATAAATAGTTGCATATTGCAAATTACATAAAAATTACATAATTTGTTCTATATCTATTATGTCTAATGAAGACATTGATTCAAAGATTGATATACAAGATATCAATTATCAATCGTATTAGGGTACCAATTAATTCATCTCATTATTCTATGCTTAAGATAAAATGTACAAAAAAATAAAATAAAAAATAAAAAATAAAAAAAGTCATTATATTATATAAAATTCACATTATGTAAAAAAAATCATATATAATTTTATTAAAAATTATAAACCATTTTTTCTTTTTATTTAAAAATATTTAAAAAATGGTGACAGTCTTAATGTTACTTTAAAGATCATCAGTTTTTTTTATATTTTATTTAAAAATATTTAAAAATGATGACAATCTTTGTATTACTTTAAAAAATTGATTTCACTATTATTTGTTTTCCTGCAAACCATGCAACTTTTGTCTAAAACATTTTTCTCTAAAATTAAAAAGAAATATAGAATTTTGGAAATTGTTTAAAATAAAATATATACAGGGTGTCCCATTTTATATTTGACAATCAAATATTTGGAAATCGCGAGGTTTAGAAGAAAAATGTTTCAGACAAAAGTTTTGGGATTTCGAGAGGGACATAAGATGATAACATTGGTTTAATTCTGAGTGACGTCAAGATCAGGACAAGGTCACTTTGAATTTTTTAAATGGAACCCCCCATTTTTCATTACATATTCTTGTAGCACACCTCGAGATCTTTCCAAAACACATAGATAAAATATTTTTTTATGAAATAAATCTTGAATTATAAAGCTTGAAAGTTGCAGTACCGTTGGCATTAGCATCATCCAAGGAGTCCGAATACTAGCTAAAACCTTTTGAATATTGTTCAGGATCATGACCTAGACAACACATGTCAAGATCAAGTCCATTAAAGGTTATTGCTTTTATTTTCATTTTCGAAAATTATATTTATTTTTTGAAAAAAAGAGAAACAATTTCCAATGGTCATGACACATGTTTTATCAATGTCATGAACAATATTCAAAAAGTTTTAGCCAGTGTTCGGATACCTTGGATAATGCTAATGCCAAACGGTATTGCAACTTTCAAGTTTTGTAACTCAAGATTTATTTCATAAAAAAATATTTTATCTATGTGTTTTGGAAAGATGTCGAGATGTGCTACAAGAATATGTAATGATAAATGGGGGGTTCCATTTAAAAAATTCAAAGTGACCTTGTCCTGATCTTGACGTCACTCAGAATTAAAAGATCGGAAGAG